CTTTTGCTGTCGTCGTTCATCTCAGTATTCTAGGACTTCTCCGGAAAAGTAGTTGTAGCAATGGTTGAAAGTGGCTGTACAGCTTCAAAAGCTGTTAGACCAGGGGACGTACTTTTGAAAGTGAATAGTATTGCCATAAAGGACAGAGATGTCGCAAGAAAGGTGGTTTTATAAACGTCCTAATAGTAGAATAAAGGACTAGCTTTGTAGCTCATGGAAGTGTGTTTAGCTGATCATGGGAAGCATTAATTATTCCAAAAAGGTGAAGCTCACCCTGGAGCGCTGTAGTATGCCACTTGCTGGGCAACAGGATGTAATGACACCCCCACCTACTCAAAAGAGCGCTGTACCTCCGACGTCTCCTCCTCCAGGCGCAGCGCCCCCTGCAGCTGCCACTGGAGCACAACCAGCACAGGTGGCTATTCTCCGAATCTAGGTCTTTAGTAACAGCAATTTTTGAGAATTTAGGCCGCAAAAACAACCTCAGTAACAAATCTGGCTATACCTCCAGTAAACACAAAGGTTAGTGATGGCTGTTACGAGCAATGCCCATCTCAATCTTACTTCCAGATAGACGTGCCCTTACCCGCAGATGTACTTGCAATACTAGAAGCAAATAAAAACTTTTATCTAACTCCATGCACATTGCCTCCTTGCCTCAAAAAGAGTAAAGAGACAACATCAAAAGATGGTAAGTTGCAATTTAACTCTAAGTTCTTTTGAACGTAAGATTCTAGTCGGTCGTCAATATATTACAGCACATCTGGATCTTCCACAAGTACCATTCACTGAAGCAATGATTCCGTACGACCCTTCACCAAAACCGCTTAAGGTTACACCAAAGAGAGTTGGATCATAATTCATTAGATATCGTCGTAATCGTATACTATTGAAATTAAATCATTAGTCCACATGTCGTTGAAAATCATTGGAAGGGATAATATTGAATATTCGATTTGATCTGCAGGCCTAATGGAACAAAGTCAATGAAGATAACAAAATTTTTTTATAAATTGTCTAACTAGTCCTAACAATGATATTCGACTGACATCAACGAAGAGCAGATTTCGAAATTTTAACAGCATGAGACTTCTGAATTCCAGTGTTTTGCTTCACATTAGGAACAATCCCGAGTTTCTATCATATATGTACCAATAATGATTTCATCAGTACTCGATGTTTTCTTGTACCTAAAACAAATTGTTTTGTTAATACAAAGTGCTTGTAGAGATACTTGAAGAAAGTTCCAATTACTACGCCAAGTTCTAACGAATTATAATATTTATTTACAATACCGCTCATAAATTCTGCAAAAAAAAACGTGATCTCACATAAAATTCCGTCGCGACGGGATAATCCCTCGCAAGGCATCGCATCGTTATAACTTCCTTCAAAGATATTTTTCAAAAGGCCAAGCGGGCGTTAGACTCAGGTCGTTGAGAGGAATCTTCCGGTGTGTCAAACTACGTAACATCTAGGGTATACGGTAGGCATACGTAGAAAGTCAGCACGAATCCGTCTAAAACTTCGCCTAAGAGGGTTATCTGATACGCTGATCATGAAAAAAACCATCCATTTCTTACGACTTACTGTAAAGATACGGTAGCCGCTCGTTAAGAAGTCACCATCTTTAATTTGTCTGTTTTTTCGTCTAGAGTGATTATTTCAAACGATGATCATGAGAAAGCTATCCATTTGTCACAATCACGGCTTATTGTATAGATGCGGTAGCTATACGATGGGGTCAATACCGCGGATTCGTCCAAACCTCCACCTACTTGGGTTATTAGTTACGCTAATTACGAAGAATATTGTTTATCTGTGGTGCTTAATGTAGAGATACGGCTTGTTAAACCACCTCACACAATGCAAATTCTTCGTAGGCTACCTTGAAACCTTTTATCCTTTCTCCAGAGGACGACATTTTCCTTAACGGCCAGAGGCCTATCTTTCACGCAACAATCTCTAAGCCAAACTTGAAACATGTATATGAGTTTCACCTTGCATTATGGGTTATGATTGAAACAACTTTTTGTTGGAAGGCAAATCGTATCCATTTTTACTTAGGATGTTTTTCTTTCTTTTGTTCGCTATATTTATGGGTTACATATGCTGGCACTTAAGAGTCTTACATCAGCTGACAAAATGCCGTTTCTGCGGTCGGTTATCTGAAGTCCGGCCAATGATTGGTGCAACCAAG